AAGCTGTAACTTGAATACTGTGGAACGATAACCTGGCAAGTTGTCATGCCTTGTTAAATAGTGTTTTTTCATCTTGGGGAGCAAATGATCTCTACAGAAATATTTCTCAATGTAAATTATTATATAAATCATCTGTAACTTTTCAACAGAACCAGAACCCAGCTCCTAGACAGGACACTAACACTAGGAGCCGAGCGAATGAGGTTAAGCTTATTTAAGGTAACCTGATAAGAGGACAAGTTTTTGTTTGGTTTGCTTTTTCTTTTTCCTGGTCATTCAAAAACTGCAGGTGCTACCCAGCTGTGTAATTTGTGATTCCTGGCATATCCCCTTGTGGTTTTGCAAAGTTTCGTAGTGAGATTGACATGATAAATTGAACGACTGCTACACTCTTTTCATTGCTCCTGACTCCACTGTACAATAGAGGCTTCAGGGAAAGTAACATCATAGCAGGGAGGGAGGGAGGTTGGTAAAAGTGACAGAAGAAAAGGAAAACAAGCACAGATAATACAGGAGATGGACAACAGGAGAGAGGCTAGCATCCTGCTTACTCTGATTGATTTGTGTGTATGTAGTAATATTGTAATCATAGCTTGCTGCAGTTTCATTTAAACCTAGAAAATTTGGTCGTAATATTAGTCTTAGAGGAACTAATTTTCAGTGATTTGTTTCTGTTACTGTCAGGTTGAACATGAGTAAAACACAAGGATGGGGATGATATACATATAGAAGTGGCATGCTTTATATAAATAACCAACCAAGCTTTCTTGCATTGACTGTTCTTAAAATACTCCTTTGCTGGTGGCTTAGTCAATAAAGGTGCTTCAATCCTGTTTTAACAGAGGGCAGTCAAAGCTTCATAAAGGAGAAATCTTGTTAAATTCTGAGCTGGATAGTGATGAAGTTGTTCTGCAGAAATTCGCTTTTTCAAATGCCCTTTGTCTTTCTGGTAAGTTAATGCTGTTTGTTGCATCAGCCTATGCTGTGGATTTTGTGAAATGTTGTCGTAAGTGGGACTTGTACAGAGGCTGGTGTCTGGTTTAGGCAAATTGTAAAGGTTGATTGTGCTTCAGTGGGAAGACTCGTTTTCAAAGCCTTTTTTTCAAAGCTTTACCTTGTTTTCTGTAAATTGGAATGCATTCATTCACTGTTGTCTTCAAGTTGAACAAAGCACATTAAGAAACATATGTTGCAACAGAGATACGTTCTACTGAGCATCCTGTTCCCCACCCTTGACAGCTAATTCCAGGATAGCAACAAGTGCAGAGTCCAGTATTAGAAAGCTATCAGTAAACTTAGGTAATTCATCCTGACATGATTTCCTCTAGCAGAAAAAGATAGATGCCAGCTAAAGAAGTCATGTAGAGCAGTGATTCCCAGGTGGGAGGTGTACCAGTATCAGGGCTGTGGACCAGAGTCACAGATGTTTTCCAGGTGTACTGGCCATGGCAGGAGGCAGCAGGAGGCACTGGGAAGGAGTCGGGCTCAGCAGTGGGCCTGCTGCTTGAGGAAGTAACACCTCTCTGCTGCTTCAGACCTCAGATGAGGTAGGATGTCAGAGTAGAAGCTGACAGCAGGAAGCCTGTCCTCAGACCTCTAAAGGGAGCCTGGTCTGTCTACCCCTACTTTTAGGGTCAGTTACAGGATTCCTGTAGTACTGGGGGAAGTGCACCTTTAAACAGAAGAGATACCAAGAAAGAGAACGTGTTTTTGAAGCGATACACCGTTTGATCAACGAGTACAGCATAACTACATAGTTCTTGACTGTCAAAGGAAGAGCTATTGAGAAAAAAAGCCTTTTGTTCGCTATAGTTTTCTTATTCATAAAGCACTGCATAGAACAGTAGTGCCACATCTAATGGAGCAAGCAATTTATTCCCAGGAGGTAATTGGTACCGATTTATGTTAGAGACATGCACATCATAAACAGTTCAATAATGTTCAATAAAATGAAGGATGCAAGTATAGTCCAGGTTAGATTTATGACACAGCAGGAATCAACCTCTGTGAAATGACCAGTGATAGCTGAAATGCCTGTTGGCTTTTTTTCAGGGGCTAAATTAGATGTCATTTAAGTCACTGATTTGGAGTAGGCCTCTGTATTCAGAAGATGAGTGTGACAAATGTTTGGCATTGGATTTACTGTCAGTGTCCTGACTAGATGACACCATTGATTACTACCACGAAGTAGTAAATGAAAGTAAATGAAAGAGTTCATTTTGATAATGAAATCTTCCCTAATTTCTGCTGAGTGAGTAGGGTTAATTTTTTATCTGTTTCCACTTTGTTCTTGTCGGGAAATCTGCAGACTAAAGAACAAAGGCCTGAGTTATATCATCTTCCTGTAGAAACATCTTTCCAGGCTCGAGCTGGGGCTTGAGGTAGAATTCGTGTTGCCATTGCCTGTGCTGAACAGCTTCCGCAGAGAAGTTGCATCTTCACTGAACAGTATATTCACGTAAAACCAAAGTGGGAGATTGCTCAAGTCGGAATTTAGCTTTAACAAGTACATGTGGTGTGTCTGTACAACCTAACTGTGGTTTGAGTATTCTGCACCACGTACTGGACACATGGAGCATGAGAATTCTGCAGGACACTAGAAAAGCAGTGATTTTGCATTTCTGCAGATTGGAGACTCGCAGACTCTGGAGTGGCACATCAAGCCAGCTGGGCTCCAGCGTGACTCATTATCTCGAACCTCCTTTGAATGTAGTTTGCAAAGATTTCCTACATACAGTGGAGCACTTAAACACACAACTTTTGAGCTGGAGAGGAAACTCCCCAGGATCTGAACTGATGGTTTGGAGAAGAGACTTGCCCTCAGGGTGGTTCCATGTGCAGAGCTATGTCAGTGCCCAGTCCAGATTTGTCTATAGGCTTATGAACATTGATCATATAATACTCATGGTAACTTGTTGCAAATGCTTGATACATACAAACAGTGCCTGGAAGCAGCACATTGGCAGATTTAAGGTTATGATTACTTGAAGGCATATATACCACTCACAGTGTTCTTATTTGTCACCTCTGTGTTGCAGTAAAGCTGGCTATTTGGGAATCATTATTGGATAACTTTGTGGAATCCATCCAGTCAATTCCTGAGGTGAGGTCTTGTTTGTACCCCTCCCCTCCTTTTCTCCTGTGCTTTTTAAAAGATCAGTCCAGATGCAGCTGAGGATATGGAAAAAGCAGCTGAATGCTGAACATGTTTGATGGTAAAGCCATCAACGTGGAAAAGCTCAGAACACCTCCAAAGTGGTGGGACAAGAAACTGTCAGTCTTTGAAGGGCTGGGAGTGGGGTTCTGCATTGAAATAATGTTTCCCATGTTGTGCCACTGTTGAATGTATGTATGTAACAGGACAAGTGGCATTTAAAAACCTGGCCAAACACCATGTGTGGCAGTTGGGGCTAAAAATAACATGCTTTAAATGGAATATAATAGAGAGTTTGAGTGAAGTACTTAAATCACAGCTTTTCATAAGAACAACTGAAGTACAAAGCATGTAGAAATAAGTGTAAGGTTCAACAGAGAAAACAGCATCTTTTTTATTATTTGAAGGAAATAAATGGTAATACATTGTTTGTTGTAAGGAAGAAGTCTATTAAAAAGGCTGAAGGTGAAAGAATCCTGTCATTACTTAAAAATAACAGTAGTAGGAAGAAAAAACAAATTATCTCTTGTTCAGGAAATCATTCATAGAAAATGCTTCAGGATTTTGTTATAGATACTGATGACACACTCAAAGATATATTGGAAAACCTGGATGAACAGTTGGATGGTGATATGCTTACACAGCTAGGTAAGCAAAGTACAAAGCAAACAAAACTTAGATGTTAGTAAGTACAATATACATTCAGATTCTAACTCGTATATATACTTCAGGCTGTAAAACACCAGACCAGTTAACTACTAGTACATGCTACTTGATCAAGCAGTGAAAAACTTGTTACTTTGCAGATACTGAAGTCACGACGGAAGGTAAAACTCTCTCATGCAGATGTAATGCAGAAAATTGGAGAACTTTTTGCTTTAAGGTAACTTTTTTTGTTACCACCCAAGACATTGTCTTACACAGAACTTAATTTTTAATTTGTGCATGATACAAAGATCAGAATACACACTAAACACAGGGTGTGGGAGTGGATTCCTTCAACCCTGTTCTGGCTAGAGACGTGTGCTGTTCTTGTTAGAGGACCGCCTACCCTACAGCATCTCAGCTGTAGATGGGCAGTACTAAGTGTATTGTAAATGTCCAAATTCCACACCCTTTTCCCTCCCTGGGTCCAGCAGCACCTGTCTCATCACCAGTAACTTTAGTGGATACTAGAGTATGCAGAGGATACCAGGAGATAGAACTGTTACCTACAGCACAGAGTTAGTAAAACTCTTCTGTGAGTTCTGTTCTTCCTTTGACTTAATCAGAAATCACTGCTACATTATAAGAATTTAAAGGCTGAGATTTTCCCCTCCCCTCAAGTGACATTTGGCTATTGAGAATACAGAGCATTACATGCTGGTTTACAAAAAACCTCAAACTTGGTGAAGAAATATTACCTATTAAAAAAGCAATTCCTATTTTAAACATTGGGGTTTATATCCTTACTTGAAGGATTAGTAAAATGATGAGCAATGACGTTCTAAGTGTCCAAAGATTTATATGAGGGTGGGAGGTTTTAGCTCTTGGCCTTCATAATGTTGAGACACTAGCCTGGTTCTGAAGGGTGAGCCATGCCCACATGTCCAGCATGCAGTACCAGTCACACTTAAAAGTTCTGAGGTACAGACAAGTTGTTAAGGAGCTCACCAGTAACTCATTCATATACTACCTCAGTTTCAACAGAGTCAAGGACTTCTCTGCAGATATCAAAAGTTAAGGAAGGTGACCAGCTGAGGACGCAGTGTTGCCATAAGGCAAAAGTCATTTGTGCTCAGAACTGTTTACCCAGTACAGTGTTCTCAGAAGTTTCAGGAGATGTAGCTAATTTTAAACCCTGACAACAATTGTATTTTTTATTATGAAAGGAGATTCTTTTCACAATTTACTTAAAATTACAGGAAATTTTTCCTGTTTCTTTTAACTGTTGTGTAAATATTTGCTCCTCTACTTACCAAAGGGAAGTTTGAACTACTGTAGTATCCATTTTTTTTTTAGGCACCGTATAAATCTGAGTTCAGACCTACTAATAACACCCGACTTCTACTGGGACAGAGAAAAACTTGAAGAACTTTATGACAAGACGTGCCAGTTCCTCAACATTAATCGCAGAGTTAAGGTAGGTGTTCTTACTAAGAATTTTCCATGCTCAGATCAGCTGTCTCCAGCTCAGCAGGGTTACATACTGCTCCTGAATGTCTGTTTTAATTGCAGAAACTGGATAAAGAAAAATAGGATCCTGTGAGCTGTCCCTTTTTCCATGTGTTCATAAACCACTCATATCTCTTACCCACTTAACAGTACTGCCTCATGTGAATTGATTGCCTATTTCCTGAGCCACTAAATTAGGCTTTATATAGTTATGAGATTTAATTCCTCTTCTGAAATGTATGCAACAAAACAAGTAAAAAAACTTGAGATGTGACATTTCTTTTTACAGACATGATCATCCAGGTCAGTTTGACGGGTGAAAAGATGCTTACTGCTGAACCAGAATAAGCAACACAAAAACTACCACTTCTGCTGGTTCAGCAGTTTTAAATATTTAGTTACTTTTGAGGCATTCCAGTAGCTACATCTTCTTTTGCTTATGCCTGTTCTCTGAGCAGGCATCATCTAGAAGCAGTTTAATTCCTGCAGATGCATATCTAAATTCCTGTTATTTTTGTGAACCTATAGAAACAACAGACTTGTTCATATTGAAACCTCTGTTGCTTGTGCACGTTGCCTTCAGGGCTTTCTATTATTTCACAGAAGAGTGTCAACATCCTTTTAGTTCTGTTCAGTGAGCCCTTCTGTGGACTGTGTTCCTCTATTTAGTGATCTCATTGCAGTTACAGAATCCAGATTTGCCATGTATTTGCAATCTCTTGATGCAGGTAATGAATGAGAAGCTTCAGCACTGCATGGAGCTGACAGACCTGATGCGAAATCACCTGAATGAAAAGCACGCTCTGCGCCTCGAGTGGATGATAGTGATACTCATCACCATAGAGGTTGGTGGGGCTCTTTCCACTATCACACTGAATACATAATAACAAGTGCAATTTGCGTACTTTGAGAATGAAGATTATTTTATTGAGGTAATGCACTATACTGTACAATAGGATTGGTCTTCAGCTCTTTGCAAGGCATTTTTGAATTGCAGCTGTAGTTTTTCAGATTATCTTGTTTCCAGTATAAGCTGTTTTAAGAATTATTAAATAAAAACTCATATTCATGTGTTTGCTATTCCACAGGTTCTGTTTGAACTTGCAAGGGTAGTTTTCTGATGACAGAAGAAACTCGGGAAGAAGAAAACTGACAAATTCATATGGCCCAGAAAATTACTGTCTATGGTATGCTTCTGGAAAACAGTGGAATCATGGCTCTTGATAGACACATACATCTTCTACTCAAATAAAAAAAACCATAATAAATCAGTTTGTGAATGTTATTCCCAGCTGCTGTACTAGCGCTGTTAGACAAGTCTGAGCCTGTGAGTAGGCCCAGATGCATGCAGGGCTGGCATAGGGAGAGATTTAGCTTTGTCTTCTTAATAAGCAAGGACAGAAGTATGGATCCCTTCTGTGCTGACTACTGATCTGGTGAAGGACTCTATTGCCTTGTCCTAGGACAGTTAAAAAGATGCTCAGTACTTTGCTACTTCATGCATTTCTGACTAAGTTTTCCCCAGCTCCTTCTCCAGTAGCCATGACTGCCCCAAGCTTTTTCTCCTTATGTGGCATGATTTTAATATACCTGGCAGTTGTATATAATGTTATATTCTACCCATGACAGCAAGGTATTTACATACTTGTATATCTTCTAAATAAACGTAGTCCCATACTTGGCTGAACTTTCATCTGAGGTCACACGAAGCTGTAGCAAAATGATAAACTAAAATTCACAAAGTTTCTCTATCATTAGGCTGTCTACCTGATCACATTTCCTGATTCTTACCAGTACAAGCTGCAAGGAGTGAAGTGTATATGGTGCGATTGAGCGCACTCTCAGCAAGTCTGTCGGCAACGCCCAGCTCTGTGGTGCAGTTGACTTGCTTGGAGGGGATGGCATCCAGAGGGCCCTGGACAGGGTTGGGAAGTGGGCCAGTGCAAACCTCATGAAGTTCAACCAAGCCAAGTGCAAGGTCCTACACCTGGGTCAGGGCAATCCCAGGAACAGCTACAGATTGGGCAGAGAATGGAGTGAGAACAGCCCTGAGGAGAACTTGGGGCTGTTGGTTGACCCAGCAGTGTGTACTTGCAGCCCAGAAAACCAGCTACGTCCTGGGCTGCATCAAAAGGAGCATGACCAGCAAGTCAAAGGAGGTGATCCTGCCCCTCTACTCCTGAGACCCCTCCCACAGTACTGCGTTCAGCTCTGAAGCCCACAATGCAAGAGAGGTGGACCTGCTTGAGAGAGTCCAGACAATGGCCACAAAGATCCTCAGAGGGCTGGAGCATCTCTCCTGTGAAGACAGGCTGAGGGCGTTAAGCTTGTTCAGCCTGCAGAAGAGAAAGTTCAGGGGAGACCTTAGAGGAGCCTTCCAGTACCTAAAGGGGCCCACAACAAATCTGGAGAGGGGCTTTTTACGAGGGCGTGCAGTGACTGAATAAAGGAGAATGGCTTTAAGCTGAAAGAGGGTAATTTAGATAAGATACTGGGAAAAAATTCTTCCCTGTGAAAGTGGTGAGACACTGGCACAGGTTACCCAGAGAAGCTATGGCTGCCCCATCTCTGGCAATGTTCAAAGCCAGGTTGGATGGAGCTTTGAGCAACCTGGTCTCGTGGAAGGTGCCCCTGCCCATGGCGGGCGATTGGAACTAGGTGATCTTTAAGGTCTCTTCCAACCCAGCCTGTTCTATGAAAATGTCATTTAATTATCCTGTAAGGTAGATCTTGTTCAGGTTGGGTTTTTTAATCTGTTCCTAGTTTACAGGTCTGCAGATTGACATCTCCAGGATGTTACTACTCACAAGAGGATGAGGGGACATTTTTCCCCAGCAACTTCTCTTTCTGAACACACTTTCAGGAATCTCTACACAATTGCTATTTTATCAGCCCTTTCAAAATCAGGTTAGTGCACAGTGTATTGCTTCAGCAACATAACCTAGGAAGTTTGTTAAAAGCTCCTGAAACCATGATCACTAAATTTAGGCTAGAAGTGCAACCACATTTGCCATAGCTTCCTGTCCTATCTTCACCTGAAAACAGCATTTCTGAATGTGATACTAGACTGTTGAATACATCAAACACATGCATGATGGGGAAGAGAATAAAGTCAGAGCTAGGAAATACACCTGACTACAAACCCGTCCTTTTGCTGTATGTTACATTACCAGTGGCATGGGAACCTCTTAAGAAGCATCAGTTTCTCTTAGAAGTAGGCTTTCTCCTCAGAACCAGAACAGGTCACCCCCCAGAGATGTTGGTTCTGGAACAGGTCTCCCACCACTCCCCCACACTGCTGAGGTCGGAACCATCAGACCCACTCACAGAAGTGAACTGGTCAGCAGAACAGCCTGGTGACAGGGTCTTGGAGTATGGTGTAGAACAGCTCCTCAGTGATGATCTGACTGACCCAGGGCTATTGTAGAAACGTACATTACATCCTTTATGCAGCAGAAAACCTTACCAAGCATCACCTAATTCCAGCAACAATTAGGTTACATTTTAATTGTAACTTTCCTAGCAAACATTTTTCACCCCTTTAGACAAATAGGGGGGTTCCGCCCCCCATTTGAGTGTAACACGTAAGAGCATCAACTTCCTATCCATCTCACACTTAATGTTTCAGTATTTCAGTTAAAATGCTAAAATGTAAATTTACAGGCCAACTGCATCCATCAGGAAAAGTGGTTTTAACAAAGTCATTTGAGGGCTCCTGGATGCTCTTCAAAAGCATGAAGTGGCGGTGTGATTACCTCAAATGTTCTGTCTTGGGACTGTATTTAAGAGTTACCAGCCAAAAACCTCAAAACCAGAGAAACACGGTTACTTTTGAAGCCTTAGGTCTGTTTACATTGGCACATAAACTGTAGCCATAAAACCATGCTCTCTTCCTCCCATCAAATCCCCAGTGCCATTTACAGTGTCCAGTGGCTATTAAGAGTTCTGCAGCTTCAGTTAAACCTTAACTGTGCATTGGAACTCTCTATCCATCTTTTTCACAATGTATCCATGGGCACCTGCATCAAAGTATGAGGGGTTTGTTTCAGCAACAACTGTACAGTCTTACAAAGTGAGTGTTCTCACTGGAGATCCCATAGGGACCCTGTGCAAGTGTATTGTGGCTTGACCGGGAGTAGGTTTTATGGCAGAGGCAAGATGAGACTCCAGTTCCAGAGCAACACAGCCTTAGCTGCTGAACACACACATCTGTCATTTGCCTCGTCCACCATGTGCCTTCACTGTGTAACTGAAAAGAACCATCTCTGTCACTACACAGTTTGCACAGTTCAAGTCTTCAAAATGTGCCTGTTCTAAGCAATAAGGGTCACCTGGGGAAAGAAACAGAAAATGCCACAGCAATAAATACAGAACATAGAAGGAAAAACAGGAACCCTCGTATATCCAGAACTCCAAAATTTTAACCTTTTTAACAACATGAGGACTGACTGGTAAAATTCTGTTTGCATAGGACTCCGTCAGACCATCCTTTATGAGGATCCCAACTGTGCAGACTGCTTCTACCTGTGGTTTTTTCCATTAGATGAGGTAAAGGACAGCTTAGAGATGATTTCTGGTAGATCTGTTAGGACGTGCTCATGAGACTGGGTACTTGTAAAACAGCAGAATGCTCAGAGCTGGGACTGCTGACTTCCACTCCCACTTTGTGGGGCAACAGCTCTCCTGGCTGCAGAGCCTGTCCCTGCTCAGCACATCAGTTCTGCTGGCTGGATGAGCAACGGCATATACATGACACCTCCCTAGAGCTCTCTGCAAACAACACGTGTTCAATTCAGCCAGCACACACCAACTGCAAGTGCTGGCCTGAAACAAAACACAGGAACACTAAAACATGTAAGGGTCTGTCCTTCCCTGTCCTACCTCAGTCCTAGGAACTTAACAAGCTTCAGCTCAGTTTCAAAAGAAGGGGAAAAGCCAGACTGTGTGTGCCCATCTACATGAGTTTACTTACTGATACAGGAGTGCACCAGACATTAAGACCAGACACAGATGGATGTCCTTGGTCCTGGTAACAGTTGCAGTGAACCTTCCCCAGTTTATGGGCTCTTCATGTGCAGACCAATTTAGAAACTGCATTGAGTTTGTCAGCTTACTTCTCTCAGTCACTCTCCCTGGACCATCAAGATTCTGTCCCAAGGAAAGTCTACAAGGGTGGAAACTACCGATCTGTGATGTACTCACCTTCCTTAACGGGATGGCGTTTAACATCTGCCAAGAGTCTCATTATCATAGAATCATATAATGATTAGTGTTTGAAAGGACCTTGAGAACATCTAGTTCCAACCCCCCTGCTGTGTGTACAGACTGGTTTATGATACTAGTGAGGCAACGACCAAAAAGAAATGCAGAATCTGAGCTAGCCACATACAGTAAGTGATACACATGGGGGTTAAAAAACAAAACCACAGCCCAAAGCATTTGTTGTCTGGGGGGAATAAAGCGTAACTGTCTGTCTTAGGTATCCAGAAGGAGGAAAGTGTCTGGAAATGTCTATAGCTGCAGCTGATAAAAGGATTTCTAAGGGACTGTAATTCTTTACAGTCAGCAGGAAAGCAAAGATCTGTCAGCCTTAGAGAATGATTTTGCCACAGCTAAACAGTGTATGAGGTAGCCCGTTTCTCCTGATCCCCTATGTGCCTGTCAATGACATACTTCTGGACACCACCCGTGTTCTCTGCACCACACAGGTGGCTGGATCTCAGAAAACCAAGCAATTCCAGCAGTCCAGGGTGCTCCTCAGTGCACCCAGCAGGAGTCGGGCAGACCCAGTCACACTGGGGAACAGGACAAAAAGTCTCCTCTCCTCGCACACTCAGCATGACAGCCACCCCATTCCTGGTTCTTTAACCAAACTTTATTAAACAAACTGGAAACAAGGACAAGCATGTCTTCTCCTTCACTCTATTTTAGCTGCTGAAAGCACTGCAGCTATGGCTGGTATCACTGTTTCTCCATTAGTGCTCATTCATTTGCCTGTTTGTGTCAGTCTTCAAGCTCCATCCATGCAAGAAACACATTTGCCAAACTGGTGAAATATGACTATTAAATGATGGTAACCAATTCTATTGCCCCCCAAATACTTAACACTTTCCTAAGTCTGATTCAATGCTGACAAACTCTCTATTTAGTTAGAACTGTTTATTAAGTATCTCATGAGCTCAAAGTGACCATTTAGATATTACTCAGCAATGCAAACATAGTATCAACTAATATTTCACTTCCACCTTCCTCCTCTAAAGAATACCTCACTTGCATGGGCTTTAAAAACGCACTCGTAACAGCTGCAGTTTGAATCCCTTTCTCCAAGGAAAACAAAACACGCAACAACATACATTGCTGTAATTTTATAGTCATGCTCCACTAAAAATGCCACTCCAGACAAGAATGCAGTTTGAATTTTTCCATTTAAAAGTGGGCAGGGCCCATGGCTAATGTGGGACTTAGGCAAAGCCAGAAAGCAGAGGGCTAATCTACACTGCAGAAACTGTGTCACTTTGGCCATACTAACAATTCCTGACAGAGATGAGGCTCCTAACCAGAAAAACCAACTCTGTGCATGCTACTAAACCATCTCCTCGGATTACATACGCTGCAGTAACACAAGGACGAATTGTTATTGTTAGCGTTATTTGTCCCTCCGGTGTAAATTGCCGCTAACGGCTAGCTGTTGATAAAGCTTTGTTTGCTGGCAATTCCCAGTTAACATACTGCTACCAGAAACATTGTTTAGTCTACAGAATGGCAAGGACCTTTTTCTTCATTTTTTCACCTCATACACCCTACACAAACACGGTTCACACACCATGGCTCTCCTGCACCTCCAGGACAGCCAGGCCTACTCGAAACAAGAATGTGAAAGCTCAGTTCCATTCAGGGCTGACCGCTATCACAAGTGTACCCCAACAGCCTCCCCCACGCCAGGGAGGCCAAGGTGAGGAAAGCAGAGCCCTTCCACAACAGCTGCTGTACCCTCACATCTGCAGTTTTCCTTGGGTCACTTTTACGTGCTGCCAGTGCAGTGTGAAACACAAGCAAGATTCAGACTGTGGGTGTGAGAAACCCTAACAGGGAGGGAGGACATAGCCCTGGATGGAAAGGCTGGAGACTACCAGAGGTACAACAGTAACTGCTCTAGGGAGCAGCTACTGCAGCTGTTGCACTTCACCAACATAAATCAGAGGTGGAAGTGTTAGAAATGGCAGCTGAGCTAATAAAGCAGATTGACAGCATTGACACAAACTCATGTTCTATGACAGTTGCACCGAGGTGAAGCAGTTCCTACTCATTGCCTCGCACATTCAATTCCCAGATCCCCACAGCTCCGGCAGAGGCAGCAATGGTCCCGTGGGAGCGGGTCAGCGATGACGCAAAGAGCTCTTCAGCACAGGGACTCTGCTCTTTTCTTTGAAAATGTGAGGAATTTGAAAACTCACTGAAATCTCAGCATTTTGAGCCTCATTATCATCACTAGAGCTGTTAAGGTTTTGACTATAATGATACAAGTATCTGCTGTACCAGTCCACACTTCAACTGAACTCTACCATTAAAAGACATGCTCACAGGACTTGAGCCTGGCTCAAGTCCCTTCCACTGCTCAAGTGAATTTTTACTCAGATTAGCAGACACTTTCATCATCCTATTAACACTTAAATCATCAGCAGTGTGCTCATTTACAATGCAAAACATGATCTTACCAGACAAAACTCTGCCTTTAATCTGGGTACGTGCAGACCAAAGCAGAACCGAAAACTAAAGGACTGATCCTATCATCAACAACAGCACAACTGGGAATGCTCTCAGGTACGTAGTACTATCTGAATCAGCCTGCAGTCCTTTCAAGAAGTCATAAAGGTAGGAAGGAAATCCTACACTAGTACTTGGGGAAAAAAATGAGCATATAAAAACTAAAAGCACAATAATACCACTTAATAAGACAAGAATAAACTTTGAATGCAATTTCAGTTGCGGGGATTGTAACTGTTTAAAATATACCTCAAAAGACAAAATAGAAGCAAAATTCTAGATTCAGGTCTTGAGCTGAGTGTCCAAAAGGAGTTTATCAACACTGATGACATCTCTCAGCTGCAGGCCAGTACCGAGGGTGTGAAGTTCAGAAGAATTAATCTCAACACAGCAATCTTCCTACAGCTTCCAGCAGGCCTTGTTTCAGAGCGGATACTTCTAAATTAAGAAATGCATTAAAGTACTGTGGTCCAAATGAAGTTGCTTTAAAGCTGAATTATGAGCTATTAATTAAAAAACATAACTAAGTTGACTTTCCTCCAGTTTCAGAGGCAGCACAGAGGAGAATCCCACACAAATGCCAACACAGAAGTACTTGAGTGCAGTACAGAAGAGAAAAAACAGACCACAAAGCCTGGCAGGTACCTGCCAGAAACACACTGGTTTTCCTAAGTATCCCACTCAATTTAATTAAAAATTATATCGCTTTCACCATCTTCCACAAGAATGAGACAAATCATCTGCTACTGACTTGAGTTCAAGTGTCCATCTACTCTCTTTACTTTGCATTTAATCTGCAGGGCTGAAACTCAAGGGACATGTAAGGTTTGCCAAGCAGGCTGGTTAAATACACTCCATCAGTTTTGGCCATGGGCTCAAACAGCAGGAGAGCTGCTAAGAACGCAGCCCTTGTAGGTTAGCACAACTATCACAGGTACTCAAGGCAGATTCTACAATCGCAGGTCTGTCCAGCTGCTTCATTCAAAGTACTGCAACAGCCACAAATGACCAGCTCTCAGCTCCACCAGAATTAAAGTCGTTGGGTCTTGGGGTTGGTGGTTTATTTAGGACCCAAGTAGTTAGTTTTCAAGGGCAGCTTAACTTGGATAAATAAATTAACATTCATGGGATATATAACCCAAACAGACTCAAGCTGTGTCTATCCAACCTTCCATTAACGTCAGTCGGAGACGGCAGAGTCAGATTCACATAAACTGGTCTAGTCCTTGATCAATTTAAATCCCGTACAAATAATACTTAGCCTGGGATGGCTGCAACCCTCTGTTGATCTACAAACCAGACAAGAAACCAGACTCATCCTCCTCCTGACAGCACACTTGCTGTCAAGGCCCTAAGTTACAGGAGTTTGAGCCTTTTTTCCATAGAACATCTTATTTAATGACTGTGGAAACATCATCCCAGCTACAGCTGGCAACCTCAAATGTTGCTCAGATAAGGACCTTTGTAAAGGTAATAACCATCTCAGCCTCTCAAATCATTGGCACTGTAGCATATGCTGTTCCTAAGGAAGCACAGAAAGCATACTTAAGGACAGCAGGAGCAGGCCCCTGGGGCAGCGGTGCAAAAGATGCCTCTTTATTCCCAGCCAAGTATCTCCCCAGAACACAGTTTCTCTGTGAAAAGAGTTTGGTCAGCTCCACCACTCCAGTCAGTGGATGTCACCTTACAAGAAGGCACAGATACAGGTCATACCCAGACTGATTCTGTGACTTAAGAGGAATCACCCCAAGCTCAGCACAGAGCTCACCCTTCCCTTTCTGGGACTTCCTTGCCGGCCTCTCGCAGAAGACAGCCTCCCTGCTCCACACCAACTACTCTGAATTTGCAATACTGACAATTTGTCATGTATCATGGTGTCCATTGGTGCACAAGCACCCGTGAATTCCACAGCACGCCTTGACTTTGGGTCCTTGAGGCCTGGCTACATCTGCATTCCCGAACTGTGCCCGAACCCAACACTGCACGAAGCTGCAGGTGTGATTTTTATGGAAGGATGCTACACCCCTCCCTGAAAGAGCCGAGCTAAAAACACTCGTTTCAAATCACGAGTCCACCTGAAAAGACAAAAGCAATCCCAACCTTCCCACTTTTGCACTCCAAGTCACTCTTTTGACAAGTGAACTTGTAACCAACCTCTCATCTGACAG